AACTACGTGTTTGTCTATTTTTTAAGTAGCATAAATGATATTGATTGCGGATCACTTCGGAATTTTGTTTGCCAGGATTGATAGTATAGTCCGCAAAAGTAGGAATAAAAAAAATTAAAATAATTTTTGACTCGAGATATTTTAGTTTAAAGTTATTTTAGGATTTAACGATAAGTTGTAATCTTTGTCGCTGTCCAATATTGAAAAACTCCACAATGGCAGTGTCAACTGAGCGCTATAAGCGACATGTCGCCCGACACATTCTTTACTCATGTACTGGTGTTGAAACTTGTTTTTTTTGCAGTAACGGTGCAATTTATTCTCCTGAGCAGTTAGTTCAGCACAGATTGAATGAACATCGTTTAATGTATGAAAGGTTAATTATTGTTGTATTAATTTTTATCCACCAAGTACTTAAATTGGAGTGGAAATAAACATATTTCTAGAGAATGCAGGTTTAGTGTAACCATTATTGTACTTTAGTACTAAGGTTTTTTATAATGATGGTGCAGTATATTCACTGGAGCATTTCACTGAACAAATTTTATAATTTAGTGTGCATAAATATTTCAGAATTGGGCTATAACTATGAATACTTAGCTTATATTAAATTATACTCATTGTGGACGGTGTTTCATTTTTAATTTTAATTCAGATTTGGATGTTCGAAATGTTTGCAAAGGTTTTTTATCTACAGCAAATTCAAGGAACACAAATGTAGTGTATTATCAAAATGCTCCTGTGGAATCGACCAACTATTTACGTACCAAAATTTCCGGGAGCACTTTGAAATCCATATGAATTCCATGAAGGACTTTTGTCTCCTTTGTAGCAAATACTTAGTTCCGGTATTTATTATGATCTTAATATATATATAGATGTACTAGATTTCGGTAATTTAAATCCTCTTGTTAGTTTGACGATAATTAAGTTTTCATATTTTATCAGTGTTGCAGTCTGACTTCAAAATTGAGCAGCTTGACATACATATGAGGTCACATCAGCTCACTGTAGATGTTAAAGAATTATTGATTCATCTCAATAATGCGGAAAGTGCTCAATCGATCGCAGTCTCGAACAATATGTCGCTAAATAATACACATGAAGTAAAAGTTTCAAGAGGAGTTGTTGCGCCAATTAAGTATAAAACTCGTGCATAATGTCAACAATTTTAATCTTGAATACCATCATAAATTTTGCCTTTTATCACCAAAATCACTTGATTTTTTTCAATTTGATTTATTTTTTTGTTCAGGAAAACATGAGTACATTTCCGTTCCGAATGGTGAAACAGGATCTTGATGACGAGGTTCAGTTTTCAAGTTCGTCATATGTTGGTACCGATGATCAAAGTCTAAAGTGTGAGCATTTTCAATACAATCATATTCCATTTGACTTTGAGCAAATTAAAAATATTTTCAGCAAATAAAATAAAAGTAATTTTACTTGCAAGTTTTTTTCTAAATTGTTGATTTTTCTTTTGTTTTGTTCTAGTACGAGAAATTATAAGATATTGAACAAATTGATTTTAGCTGGTAGAATCAGCGAGTTATCAGTATCAAAAACTGTTCAAAGCAATTCAATGACTAGCATTAGGTCAAAAAGTGATACCACTAAAAGATCGTTATCATCATCATCTGTGCATCGCGAAGAAATCACGCAAACATGCATTATTTCATCTGGTTTGTGGATTTCAGCTTAGAAATCCGTAATAGATACATTTGCCAGTGGAAGACTCTATTGTCCGAAACAGCTGAATTAACTGCTAGCATTGGGATTCTTAAATTAAAGGGGTCCATGACATTTAGCGAGCAATAATTTTTACTATAAAAGATCAAGATGGAACTGAACATTTAAAAAAACCAAATTATTGCAGAGTCCGATGAGGTAGCTGTAGCAAATATTTTGGAGAAAGTCATCAATGCAGTGATTTTTCCCCCGTCTCGTAAGATTTCTTCAGTGAAAACACCAATTTTGCTTCGTCCAGTAATTAGTTTGATTTCTTTTTGCAGATAACGTTGTGTCTAATGATTGCATTTCGTCTACGATACAAAAATCGGGCACATGTAGCGTAACGAGCAGCGTCATAAATGAGCAAACTGAGGTGTTTACTAATAAATCAGCTAAAAAAATCAGAGAAAAGAGTTTATTATTATGGATAAATCAGATTTTTCTTAGACTGTGAAGAATAATGATGTTTTGCTTTTGAATAAATCAAATCATGCAATATTCCAATCCTTGGCATGTTTTTTGTTTTTGTTTTTGTTTTTGTTTTTATCTATACAGTTTTATCGAATGAATTCTTTGTATTCAAGTTATTGCCAATAGTTTATAAAGAAATTATACTAAATTATAGTGCTGTAAATTAAGTCATCAAGAAATCATGCCATTTATAACAATTTTGCCTGACAAAATGAATACATAAGACTGTATAGTTGAAGCAAAATCTGAACTCACTTCAGGAAAGTGTCGGTAACTGCAAAACTAGTGCTTCAAATGCAAAGTCAAAAGAACGAATAGATGGTGATTTGAAATTCATTAGAAGGTTAGAGAAGTTTGAGTCAGCTGTTTACTATAATTTACCAGTTTTTTGGTCATTTGCAATATTAATTCGTGTGTAATGCTAGTTAATGTAATTCTTTAGGAAATCTGTGCTATAATTTATTATTTGAAATACTCATTTTGTTTTCCATGCGTATTTACAAATGAATAGGAACCTTAAACAAAATGGATCTCGAAACATGTCAAGACGAGAAGCTAAGTTTTGTTGTAACCAATGCACTGAAAAATTTTTGACGAAGTCTTCTTTGATGGTTCACAAAAATAGTCATAAATATGATGCTGGTCAAACCATTGAACCGGTATGTTTTGCTTCTTGCAATAAAAACTTTGTGCACCGGATTTAAACGTGCATCATTGCAAAGGTAGTATAATCTAAAAAGTGCAAATTATTAGCTCTAAGCACTTTTAAAATTTGTATGTTTATATGTTTAGGTATATGGTATTCCAACTGAAGTGACTTTATATATTTGCCGTCTCTGTTGTTTGGCTTATGAATCACAGGCAGTTTACCAATTACATATGGGTACTCATGGTATTTTGCGAAATTGTGGACAGTGTTCTTTGATCACATTCAGTGACGAACAACTCAAAAGTCATCAACAGCGGCATGGAACACGTTTCGACAAGCAACGAATCGTTTATATTTGTTCTCGATGTGCGATTACCTACTCAACGGTAAACCGATTTTTGAAAAAGTTTCGTAATATCAATCATAAAATTTGGTTTTTATCTTTTGTGCTTCACTACTTTATATTGAATCATCTTCTGATTTTTCATTGTCAAATTTATGTAGTCATGTTTTCAGGATGCACGTCTCTACCATCATATGTTTACTATTCATGGAGTGATTTTATTGTATTTCTGTAAAAATTGTGGTTTAGCAAATAGTAATGGACGAATAGTGTATGAACATATAGTTACAAATGCTTGTTCTTACAAGGTTTGTCTGTTTATATCAAAAAAATTGTAAAATGCAGTCGATAGCACAATTCTCATATCTTTTATTACGTCATTAATTTAAGTCTTGAGTATTCCGTTTGCCTAAAGAAGCTAAAAGTAACTCATATTTTGGTTTCAGGAATTAAATGAGACACGTGAATGTAGAATGGGTTTCACAGCTGCTTGTATTTTCCATTACCAACCGATCAATCGAACAGAACACGAAAAGAGGTTAAAGGAAAACACTTTACCCGTCGTAGTTCCATCACAGTGCATCCATCGATCTTTTTTGTGTCAAACCGGGGATCTCTTTAGCATCACTTGTCCAACATGTCACTCATTGGTTCGAACTAATTAAACCTGATTTTGAGAACTAATTAACCTGATTTTTTCATGCTAACTGTATTGTGTAAAAGGTTGACCAAGATAACTTTTTTCTGTCACTAAATATTCTACATTTTACAGATGATTTTCACTCGACTTGAAGCGGAAAATCCTGCATTTATTAAAACCTTGCCGGTTTGTTTTCATGATATTTACTTAGTTTAGTGGACTTGGGGTCGTTGTTTTATACCTTCTATATATGTAGGGATCTATCAAAGTCATCAAAAGCATTTTTGCGATTTTCGAATTCGTGATATTTATGAAAGTGAAGTAATTTATGAGGGAAGAAGTAAAATAAATGAGACACAAGTAAAATGAATCAAGAAAAAGAAGCAGTGAAATGAATACTGAAAATTGTAATTTTGGATAAAAACTAAATTGTCTATTTTGGAAGTTCGTCATTATGTCACGTTTTGCATTTTTAGCGTATTCTATATCAAGGTGATGATAATAATGATCTTGTGATGCTTACATTGCTGAATAACTGGAGTAAATCTCATCATGGAAGTACCTCACGTTTCATATTACCAGCGTCTTCTTTGCCAAAAGTTTATGTTTCACATTTTGTTTAAAAGTGCTATCAATAATCTAGTACTTACGATTTTAAGATTCACAAGTAATTTCGAAGTTTAATTTTTAGAACGGAAGGTAGCATGCTCTGTTTTTATGTAGTAGAGTTTCCAAATCACAAAAATCTATTACATTGTTATGCAGCAGGAAACAAGGCAACTATTGAACAATTGCGCTATGCGACAGTTGATTGTTCACTCACCATGTGTGTCCACGGTGCGACCATTATGTTCAACTTCAAACTCGTCTTTGAGTTCACTGCCATCATCTTTATATGCCGTATGAAATGTTTATTTTGCAAATAATCATTTTTTTCTGGAAAAAACTGATTTCTAGTTGTTGTATTTGGTGAATGTCGCTGTGGATGAATTGTCTCATTTCAAGACATCCATTACATTTGTGCCTACTAATTTTTTCGCGGAAATTTATCTTATTAAAGAAACTCTCCCAGTATTTTCAGTTTCCTCATGCTTCTTTAAAGTTTCAAATATTTAGTGCGAATTTGTAAGAAGGACTGTTTTCATCTTTTTCCCATGCATTTTATTTTTTAGCACAAAAAAGGAGCGATATCAAGATCACATGATTGTTTTATCATAACTGTTTCATCACGTGTTCATCTTTTCATAACCTGTGCCTTTCATATCATTTAACCTTCACAAAGTGCTTTTACTGTGAACGTAACAAAAGAAACAATTCACTCTAGCAGAAGACATAGTTTTAGACTTTTTATTATTTGAAGTACGCAATTTTTTATTTTCAGGTTAAAAGTGTTACTAATGCGGTTGCAGTGGGACCTTCTTCACCAACAACTTCGATGCAGAATTTAGTGCGGTCATCAATATCAGCAGCAGAGATTCGATTTCAGGTAATTTCATATCCATTTTTTCTGCAGCTTATTGAATGCTTAAATTGATTCTTTATTATTTGTTACATTGAAGGGAGTTCATGCCTACCGTGGTGTTCTTGAAGCAGTTGACCTCTCGATATTTAATCCTCGAACGGTTAATAATGATTATATTCTGAAAACTGCTGAAGGCAGATTCTTCTGTACTCGAACAGAATGTGCAAATATACGGATTGAAAAAATCACCTCGGGACGTGTTCACAATTTACGACACAATCTGCAGAATATTTTTTTTTGTTTGGAGTGTGGTGCTGCATTTCCATGTGAAGTTTTTATTGTAAAGCATATGATCAACCTTCATCATCAGAAGAGAAGTAAGTCAGTTATGTTTATTTTTATGAGGATACACGAAATAAATTTGCTTTTAATATTTTTCATTTCTGTTTCTCTTACTGAGGTGTAATAATATTTACTGAGCTGTGAAAGAAGTGATGAATTTGTGAAACTGTCTTCTCTAAAAAGAATGAATGCACTATAAAGTTATAAAATATAATTAAATCAAATTGAGGTTTATTGGTTTTTTTCAGCACCAGAATTGAATTTACATTGTCCTCTTTGTCCAAGGATTCCTTTTTTCACTAGTGTTGATCTTTTCAAGAAGCATATGGCATCAGCAGCACATACAGCTACCACACATTTTTTTACTTTTAGACAAAAGTATGGTGACTACTTTTTTATTATTGGAACTTACTTCATAATTTTGAAAATATCAAAAGATAAAATACCCTATGAATGTTTAAATCCAAGAAATCGTTTTTTTTTT